GCGGGAAGCCTGCTTCTCCCTCTCCTACTCCCCCTGCTTGTGTTCCCGCTCCCGCTGTGTCTCTCTCTGTCAAATAAATAGATAAAATCCTTAAAAAAATAAATAAATCTTTAAAAAAATTATTTTAAATGAGGAGATATATTTAACTGAAATTATAATAATAAGAGATTGGAACTTAAACAACGAAATACATCAGTATAACAGTGATAGGTTATCATTGAGAGCAGATTTCTGCAGATAGTGGGACAGACTCCTGTACTTAGCTTGTCGTATGGGTTGAAACTGATTCCCTTTACCTTTCTTATTTTTTATAGCACGTGTCATATCACATTTTTCCTGTACCACAAGCATTTCCATCTTCCAAACAACCTTTGGTAGTCCTGCTTTTGTCTGTTTTGTCCACTGATGCATCCCCAGCCACTAAAATAGTGTTTGGAATAGGTAAAGCACAGAATATTTTTGATTGGATCAATGGATTTCCATGGAGCAGCACTGTTGAGTAGAAATATAACGCAAGCCCCAAGTGTAATTTCAAATTTTCTAGCAGCTGCATTTTTAAAAAAAAAAGCAAAAAGCAGCAGATGAAAGTACTATTACTAATATATTTATGAAATATTTCATATAACCGCACAAATTATCCTTTAAATATGTAATCAATATAATTAACATGTATATACTTGCATTATATTCTATCTTCAAAATCTTTGTGTATTAAAAAAAAATTTATTGCATATCTTAAATTTATAGCACCTCTAAACCGAAGGACTCAACAGCCAGCCATGGCATCTGGCTACCATACTGCATTGTGCAGCTCATCACACAAGCAGGGAAAATTCTCTGGGCAACCAGCGATATTTTGAGTTTAAGTTGCGTTTTCAAGTGGAGAAAAGGTTTCTCCACTCTTCTTCCCCTCCGAAGAGAGGAAGACAGACCACATTTCATTCCTTCTGTCAACATTTCATGAGTGTCTACAACAGGCCTTACACTGTGCTTTTAACTAACTTGTGATTAAGAGGAAGTGGTCCCTCCCATGTACAATGTTTACAATCAACAAAAATACAGACAATAAGCAAATAAAGAGATTTATGAGGCCAATGGAGGGAAGGAAGAGGGTGCGATGATGGTACTAGAGCCAAATGATGCCATGGACGAAGGAGATGACTTGGTTTATGTCCCAAGTGTAGTAAGGATTCATGGAAGAGTCTTGGCCAAGAAGAGGTGCGATTATTTATGTTTGTAAAAGATCTCCCTGTTGCCAGATAAAAAGCAGAAGCTACATGGACAATAATGGAACCAGTGGAAGAAGTCTGAAGGCCTGAGTCATATTTCCAGCAGAAGTCAGCGGAGGAGCGCTCCATCACCAGCAGTGGCGAAGAGACAATGAAACTGGCTCGAGGCACATTATGAAAGCAAACTCTGAAAGCAAAGAGAGCTGGACTTGAGCATCTCCTTACTTATTTACTGTCTGTTGCTCTGTAGGTTGCAAGCTCCAAAAGATTTCATAGACTATTACGAAAGCAAAACTCACTGGGCTGGAGGATACACTGGATGAGGAAAGGAAATGAAACAGAGAGATGGAAGGGGCGCCTGGGTGGCTCAGTCGTTGAGCGTCTGCCTTCGGCTCAGGTCATGATCCCAGGGTACTGGGATCGAGCCCCGCATCGGGCTCCCTGCTTGGCCAGGAGACTGCTTCTCCCTCTCCCACTCCCCCTGCTTGTGTTCCCTCTCTCACTGTGTCTCTCTCTGTCAGATAAATAAATAAAATCTTTAAAAAAAAAAAGAAACAGAGAGATGGAAGATAAACTCTAGATCTGGGATCAAATGACTTAGCGGAACTTGGTTTTATATCCTCCATGGAGAAGACAGTTGAAAGAGCAGGGCAGTTTTGGGGAAGATGAGGAGGTTAATACATGAGGTAGGTATGCTGATGGGCAGTCAAGTGGGCACATTAAGTCGGCAGTTCACAGCTGGAGCTCTGGAGAGTCCAGGACAGGGATACAGATTTAGGAATCCTCTCCTTCAGTGGGATTTGGTGACAGGCCTGAGAACAGTCACTAAGACCATCAGTGAGTTTGGGAGATGGGGGGTTTCAGAGAAAGCACCTGCAGAAGTGAAGACCTGGAAGAGGGACCAGAATGGTTAACTAGGAGATTGGGGAAATAGGATGTGAAGGAATAATAGAGAGGATTGTTATCAAGGAAGGGTGAGGCCAACAGCACAACATGCTGTCAGACATCAGGGAAGAATCATCCAATGGAGATTTTGAACAGAGCCATCTGAGGAAGTGGAGGTACACTAACCCAGTGAGAGGCATCTGAGGGCAGAGTGAGCCCTGAGGAAGGTACAGACCAGGCGGTCCATAAAGCTGATGATCCATTCACCAAAACACAGAAGAGAGAAATGGACACTAAGAGGGGAAGGAAAGCATCTCTCTAATATGGTAGCTATGGTCGATCTGGGGTTGCTGATGGGGATGCGAGTCCAGGGTGGGACACACTCACTGAGATGAGGGTAGGTCCTTCCGGGTGTGGTGTCCTCCTGGGAAAGGCCAGAGGGAAATGGGTCCAGGACACTTCTCAAACCCTGGCCTTATGCAAGTAGGGGGCAGTCTTATCACTGCAGGAGGGGGCGTGAGGGTGGAGGAGGAGTGAAGCTGGCACAGAATTAGACTTACAAAGTTGATGGCAGGAAAATGAAGTCACTTCCGTTTCATTGTTTCTACTGAATCAGTAAAGTAGGAGCAAATGATCCTATGAGATTTGGGGTCCAGGAAGGAAGAAAAAGCAGGATGGGCCAGCCTGTGTCCAGAACAAAAAGAAGATCCCATACGACTTTTTTGGGGTTTTGGTGCTGGTTTTTTGTCCCCGTGTACCCCAGGAATGGTCATCTTTAGCATCGAGATTAAAATATTTTCTTTTGTATTTTAAATACCCACAGTTACTCACAACCCTAATGACCACCAGGCATTCACCTGTCTCTGCTTGGGCTGTAGGAGAATTAACCAATTGGTCAGAAAATCAAATGATCTTCCCCTGTAAAGTCTCCACCAAGGCTGGTACTTTATCTAGGAAGGCAAGGGCTCTAGAGCTTCAAGGGCCACCATGTCTGCTTCAGCACTAACCCAGGAAAGATTGGGGGACTCTGAGCCTTTACAAAGGCATTAGAGGGAGATGCCACGGCACAAGAGGAGGATGATTCCAGAGGGGCGTGTGTGTGTGTGTGTATTTAATTTAGATACTATTAATTTCAAATCTACAATGAAATCTCTGCATTACTCCTTCTGCCATTCCCCATAAGTCTCGTCCCCTGTTTTCTTTCTCCTTAAAAGCCAGAAAAGACAGCTCCATTTTTAGCAGAACTGAATTCCTATTGCAGATCCTTGCATATGGCTCAAGAGTCAGCACCTACAGATTGAACTCATGGAGGGTGAGTCATGCTTCTATCAATGAAAGCCGTGCATTGACTTTTCTGTTCAATATAGAAACAGAATGTCGAAGGTGATAGGCTGACAGTGTAATTCTCCTATCTTCTCCAAAATCTGCCAGCCTTACCTTCATTAACAAGGAGTCGCTGGGGATAAGGTACAAGTGAAATTTAGTATCTTCAGGGTGGAAGTGATAATAGATCAGGACCGTGGAAGTGATGGGGACCGAAACACCGGTTCCACTGGCGATTCTCAGCAGGATCCCCATCAGAGAGAAGCTGGGGTTTTCCAGGACTGCACAGAAAGGCTTCACTCGGGCTGGCGGCTCTAGGACCATCCCCTCATCCTTAAAATGGGCAACTTGGAACCAAGAGATATTGACCTCATTTGCTGTAGGACAACCACAAAGACGATCAGACAGTGTTCCCCACCATCCCCATGGCCTCCCCTCTCCCCTCCTTACCTGGGAGGGAGATGATGTGGGGGAGGGGGATTTCAGTGATGACCCCCTTGGGCTCCACGGAGACCTCAAACAAAGGGCCTGCCACCATCCACTGCTCCTCGTGCTGTAACTTCAGGTCCAGATGCTGACCCCAAGAATCGAACGCAATCCTCATGGTCACTGCTTGCTGTTACCAAGAAGCCAAGGTGTGTCGCTGGCCATAGATAGAAGCCAGCCATGGGGAAGTGGACGCTGAAAGGAGCCAGAGTGAGAGTCATGCTGGGAGAAAACCAGGACTTTGATTTAAAGAACAAAAGTGCAGAGGGATGTGGAGCTTGGAGTGGAGCAAGGTTCAAGACCCATCCGTGACTTTCACTACGTTAGAAAACTCTAGGGAGTTAATTAAACTCTCCGAGCCCTGGGGCACCTGGGTGGCTCAGTCAGTTAAGTGTCTGCCTTCAGCTCAGGTCGTGATCCCAGGGTCCTGGGATCGAGCCCCGCATCCGGCTCCCTGCTCAGCG